TATAATATATTGTTTATTAAATAATTTAAATAATTTGATCAAATTAGGTTAGATTAGGTCAGGTCAGGTCAGGTCAGATCGGGTCAAATAAAAATTTAAATCATGTCAGATTTTTGTTTGACCTGACCTGATCCTCTCAGTTCAGGTAACTTGATTGACCTGACCTGAACCAATCTATTCGGAGCTCTAATAATAATTGTGATATTTATTTTAATTGACTTGCTTTTTCTTATTATTATTATAATAATGTTTAACTTTTTGATTATCTCATGCAGATAATAACTTTTTTAAAACATTATTAATTTCTTTTTTTATTGGCATTATATTTTTAAGCAACAGAACACTTAATATTCCTTTTTCTTCATTTGTTGTATTTGTTCTTTAACATTTAGAAGCATTATTATTTAAAGTACTTGATTGTTCATTTGAATTTTTATTACTTGATTGAGAGACCTTAAAGATCTTACAAGATGTAAAGTGGGGTGTAGTTTTATTATTTTCTTCTGAAGCTTTTCTTTTTTATGAAGATTTTGCAACTGATCTTATATCAGTTTTAATTATTTTTAAATGGTGTTTTTCCTTTGTATTTATTCTTTCACTTTTAATAACCTCTTGACAATATACTTTCTTTATTCTTTTTAATCTTTCTTTATAAGCATTATTTAATTTTTTTAATCCTTTTGAGGTTAATTGTAAAGTAAATTATTTTTGAAAAATTCATATTCTGTATGATTATCCATTTGAAATACTTCAACTAAATCTTCTATTAATTTTCATAAAGGATCAATTCAATTATTTACCTTATGATCTTTTCTATTATAATTATATGGATCCAAAATCTTGTTTAATAATGTATCAATTCTTTCTTTTTCTTCTTGAGTGGCTTGAATTTGAAGATTTAAATTTTCTTGATCGATAACATTCCCAATTATATTTTATTTAATATATCTGACTCTATGTATCATTAAAACTTCATCAAATGCTGGATAATGACTTTTTCTTGCCAAGTTAATCAAAGCACAATATTGGAATTTTGTTTCTAAATTAGAATATTTCTTAAGAATTAATAGGAAGTGAGTTACAGAGATCATATAGTTGTTTTTTCCTGCAGCTGAAAAAAGAAGAGCAAAGGCTATTAGACTATCATGTTGCAATTTATAATTTCCAATGTGTATTCTAATGAGATGGCTTTTTCACATAGTAAAATACTTATACTTTATGAACTTTGAAACTGTGATCTCATCAATGGACAACCAGTTATTACTACATATGTTAAAGACATAATTATACTATATTTTCAGATATTGAAGAAGGAATATAAGATTAGATTGATTGTCATTCGCAAATCCATAAATATTCTCTTAATTTACAAAAATGTGATGATTATAGTTATTGTAAACTACTATGAGCTCTTAATGCTTTTGAACTTTTATTATTAAATAATGGTTTTTTTCTTCCTATTGTATAAGAATAAGACAAACATTTTCTTAATCTATTGCACACATTGGAATACTTTTGTAATCAGCTTCCTGGCTATGATAAACATTGCTCAAGCATCCCATCTGAATTGTATCAAAAAACTTATATACAAAAGATGTGAAAAATATTTTCTTACAAAGGTATTTATAAAAATGCATATCAAGACTATGCATTCACATAGTAGAGAAAAAAAGGCACAAGTAATTCAAGATGCATAATTATAACAAATGAAGAGTGGTATATGTAAAAGAGGTAAAGTAAAAAATTCACAACCTTGAGATCATGATTATCTTACATTTTAAATTAATTTTGATAATATATAATGATTTGTTAAAATAAATAAAATTATAAATTGTTCTATTGAATTTATTAAAATTTCATATTTTTAATAAATTAAACTTTTAAAAAATTATTATCACGTGATATCACATAATCAAGTCATATTATTACTTTATTTGATTTATAACAAAGATGATGAAAAAGAGAAGGGGGTCAAAAATCCAATGACATTATTTCTGATCCTCTCATAACATTAGATTTGTCTAGTAATTGGTAATAATATAAAACGTATTCCTCTTTTGGAAGGGTACTGTATATACAGTATATATGAAATATAATCAAAATTTCAAGCTACTCTTCGCTATCTTAAGTACTTTTAACGTTCTGGATACAAACTAAATTTGAGAAAAATTTCCTACTCGCTAGCTTTAATGTTTTATTCAAAATGTTTTATTTGTATTATTACTTTTTTAAACTTTATTTCTAACTCTTAATTTTTATGTTTGCAGATATACTGATATCATATTAGGCTGTTCTATTGTAGATAAAGATAAGGCTTTATTATTAAAACTGACAGGATTAAAACCATTTCATAACTCAGGGATACCATCAAAGCCTACAAGGAGAACATGTTTAAAACATTTAATGCAAACTAACTTACATTATGAAAAGTCAATATTCCTAAAATGAAGAAATGGGAAATTAATACAGATATTAACATTGCACAAAAATTTGAAGCTATGGAGCTGAAAGAAAATTTTGATACTATTGAAAAGTATTTTGGCACAAATCCTACTGCAAAATACATTCACATCATCATCCAATCCTTACCCATCATCACTGATAAGTATCTCTCAATGGTTTACTTCTTAAATAAGAAATTTATAGTGAAAAAATTATTGAATTTGATTTAATATCTTTTTTTCCATGTTATAAAGCAAGTATTTCACAAGGTATTACACAATATACAGTATCTTTTTTTTATAATCAGCTGAAAGATTTCTTGATAATAATGATCATTTTCTTACCATCAGTGATACTATCTGAATCTGATGTTATTTTTTAAAAAATTTCTTAAAAGCTAATATGACCAATTCCTCAAAATATACATAAAAATAATGATTCATTGCCATTATACAATTCACCAATTACATTTAAAATGCCTATACCTGTCACTTTTAAAGATGATCAACCTTGTCTCTCATTATATGATCTTTCTGATGGTAATAGTAAAGTAATCTGATTACTCAGATTCTGAGCATTCAGCTCACAATTAAAAATATAAAGAACAACTTATTAGTCCTGTTAGGGATATCAGGATACAGTAAAATAAGAATATGTTATGAATTATTATATTGTAATTAAAGACTTTACTTTATATCATTACATAAAGGGAATGGAGATTCTGATGATATTGAAATAATTGAAAATTATATTTATGATAATTTGATAGAAGACTGGGAAGAAAACTACAACAAAGTAGATTACATTACTCATTGTGCAATTTTTTCATGATTACTATACTAATTATTATATTAAGTCATCTATAATATTCAATCTACAGCGCTAGATCCTGCTATAAACCTGTCAAAAAATCTTTGAAAAACTTTATAATTACAGGGACGATATATTTAGTGAGCTTATGTTGTAACTTGTTTATTGCACACAAAATTTTGTAATAAAACACATTTATAGCACATATCAAGATATTCATCAAATCAGTGGTTTTAGTGATATTTTTTCCATAATCCTTGATGAGACACAAGCATTTGAAATAATACTTAAAGGAAAGTTTAGATCATGATATAATTCTGATAAGCAATGCTCACTTATTTTTCCAATTATTCAAATATTTAAAAAACTAATACCATCATTTTCTAATCATTATACAGTTGTGTATGATACTTGACTTGGACTCCTTTCACTTAGAGAAACTTTTGAAAGTTTAGGAATTGCGAAGCTAGACTTTAATATAGGTAAATTCACAAACTTTGGAAGGTGACAAGATATTACATATGTAAAGAAATACATTGGTCATCTAATAGACCTAACATATGATAAATATAATCAAATTTATGAAAGGTTCTGTGGTCAATTTTGCCCAATTTTTTCTATTGTGAAAAAGGTTTTGATAGATACAACAATTAGCAATGCTGTTAGCAAACTTTAGACAATATTAACATGTCATAAAACTAACAGGCAATCATTATATAAACAGCTACATGATATTATAGATAGAGAGCGATCTAATCATGTGTTATCAAATAATACTCTTGATTTATATAAGAGTTTAACACTTTTCTACTATTATTCCAGTTCACCATGCTTGTGTATTGATGATTATCAATTTAAGATAATTGAGAGTGGTTTTGGATGCTTCAGGACGGTAAAGTCATCAACTTCCTCTAAATTAGAAAAAATATATAAAGATGAAGTTATATTGCAAACTTTAAGCATGAATGTAGAAGCATTATGTTCTGCAATTTCAGAAAAGAATATTTTAGTTGTATATATTAACAAACTCTTTGCTCTTATTGCTTTATACAACTTTTTTTGTGATGAAGGTGAACTGGAAAAAGAAATTCTCAAAATAATGTCCTTAGCTAATGATTTTAGTTTATGGGGAATAATGTAACAAATGTACTAACCTAAAGAATTTGTTCAAATATTTAATAGTCAGAGAGATATCAGAGATATGCTAATCTTTGATGAAATTGCTAAGAATTATGACTTGCCTCCCTTTTGCATAAGATCACTAGGTATTATCAAATCCTTTAATGAGATTATACCACTAATTAAAAATGCAACATTAGATTACACACTAAATGAGTTTTTTAATAAATCATCTGAGCTACGTCCAGCATTTTTTATTTCAGATGATCACTGTAAACCTGATATCATATTTTTTGTTAAATTTGAAGAAGTTGAGGTTCCAGTCTTTATTCAAGTAAAACTGCATTATTCATTTAAAGCGATTATGGGAGCACTAAGTATAATTAATTCAAAAATATTCTACAAAGATAAAAATTGAGATTTATTTTAAAAGAATTAAATAAACCCATCATCGAAAAAATAAAACAATGATGTAAAGAATATAGTTCTATTGGTTTATTTGTCACAGGTCGAAATATGAGGTATCGGGTCATGAACTATCATGAAGTATCAGTAAAATATCATAAATCCGATATGGTAATGATAGTTCATAATAAAAATTATACACATATCAGTATTCGAAATGTCTATGATTTTTTTATGATAATGAACTGATCTTTAAAAAACATGTCAGTAAGATATCTAAAAGCTATATTAAATATATCAGTGAACCGATAGATCAATGATATTTGTACTAATATTTATCTGATAAAAGTATCAGTAAAATATAAAGCCTGATATTCTAATAATATTTATTATTGATCTATCGGTAAGCTATTATACATTTTATAGATGTTAAAATATAGTAAAGTTTATTTATATTTCATTATTGTTTAATTGTTTAAATTATTTACATATAAATTTTTCGATTTATTGAAATCACTGACAAATATTCTCTAGGATTTTTTTTGCCAAATTTTATATTAACCGCAATGAATTGTCCTAAGATACTATGAATAGGTATTATACAATTACGACCTAAATCATAAAAACTCTTATTCCATAATTCTATGTTATAAATTTTCAAGTTACCATCGATTTGACAATGAAATCGATGCCTTTTATCGTCTGGTTTTTCATACCACCTTACGAATGCTAATGAGTGTGTCGTTTCACTTTCTGGTAATTGTATCATATGCTTAAAAAAATATTGAACTTGGCCGGGATAGATATCGATCGTATTACCATCATCTAAGATAAATTGCGATAATATGTTTGCCGACTGGACATATCGTGCTACAAATGTTGAACCAATAACTTCAGCTCCTATCTGCAATCTACCGAAATAGTCTACTTTCAGTAATACTACTATTGATTCCAATGAAGAATTATGAATATTTGATAATTCAACAAAAGAACAACTATATGCATTTTGATAATATTTTACTAATAAATCTAATACTTCTAGTGGTAATGCCGCTTTTTTCGTTGGTTTAATTAGTTCTCTCAGAAAGACTTCTGATCCTACTCCTGCATTTTCTTTTACATTTTTTGACATTGATAAAAATTCAAAATATTCTTTCAAATCAAAATCGTCATTAGCAGCAAGGCTACCAACTGTTTCTTTAAAAGCAATATAAGGCAAGCACTCCAAAAGATGCTGATTGTCATTAGCGTATGTTAATAGCTCATTGAGTAAAGCGTAACGTTAAACAATTTTAAGTAATTCTGACTCTATATGTCGATTGCTACTATGTAAAGAGCCTGATATAAAAATTCTTGTTAAATGTCAGAAATAATGAAAAAAAATATTAAATCATATTATATTACCTAATAGTCCATTCATTCATTCAAAGCTATAGCACTAAAATGCATATAACAGATCATAATCAAATGTGCACTCACAAATATGTAAACATAAATGCATATTTAGTATTATTTTTTCTGACCCATAGGCCTTTTCGACCAGCATCACCATGGATAGAAGATATTAATGAGCCTCTTCCAATCTAGTTTTAGATATAATACAACATACAAGAATATTGCATGCTTGTACAAAATAACTTAAAATTTTCCTATCATCATTCGAAAGTAAATCCTATGTAATGTAGTAGCATATACAAGCATAAAGGTTTTCCATTGGTCGGCAGTAAAGCCTGAAAAACCTTCACCTGTTGCTATTTTGCTTGGGATTCTACCGATATCTGATGGTAACTTCATTCTATTCGCTTATTTTTGCATCATTTTCAGATTTTTTCGGTATTAATCGACTCTCTTCTATCTACAACCTCATCAGAATCCATTTAGCAATACTGAGAAATAGGCAGTGCATGGGATTGATGATAAGAAACTGAACAGGATCGAAATACGAAAGTCTATGTATTTCTGACTATTGTACTAAATTTTCAAATACATGCCTTTTTTGAGCATCTTCTGTGTTGCAATTTTTCCATAAAGTTGCATTATTTATTATTTTTTCAGTATTTCTTTTTGAAAACCACTCGTCTATATCATCAAATCTGCCAAAGTGCGGATGATTTTTATAGTGTAATCAGCCACTTTTTTACATCTATGACAAGCTACACATGTTGATATATGACCGCAAAGTTTCCTTGCTGCTGGTATGTCACACGTGCAACATATTATTGCTACCTGTATAAATTTGCCAGTAAGGCTTTCGACATTTTTCTAACATAATTCCTCCCCATAGATTAATAAATTGATCGACTACCAGAGCCAAATAATGATTTAGCTGATGTAATTTAGGCTCATTAGGTCTAGGAATAATCGCAATTGTAATTATATTGGAAGGTTTAAATCTTTCGCTTTGCGGAAGATTATACACAACCGCATATATTACTCCTATACTATATTAGGAATTGTTAAAGGGCTGGAACTAGTCAAGGTTTAATATGATTCCCAAATGACTATCTGATACTTCATATCTGAAAAATAGTTTATTATTATCCGAATCTTTGAATGTTTTCCAAATTCTCCCATCATATATATTGGCTAACTCCTGATCGTTATTTGATTGATCTGCCCATTTTCTGCAGGACTTCTCGAATCCTTCCATATTGTATAATTGTTGTAGTCTTTGTTTGATATTAGCAACGGGATAAATCAGCGACAGTCGATATATTGTATCTTCATTCGTAGGTATCTGTTTTGTAATGATATTATTGCAATTGAATCTTAAATTGACTGTTAGATGATTCAGATAATCTTGAAATGTACAACGGTAAGGTCTATCGGTTGGCAAATCTCTTACTGCGTATAATTTGCAACATTTTTTGCAAGTTACATATTTGATTATTTGGTCTCTTATAATAAATAATTTGCGTGCTTTATATAATAATGTTGGAAATTCTGAATACAATATTGCATCAATAGAGATCAACACATATCTTATAAATTTTATAAGAGCGTTAGTAGCTGTATCAGACAACTGATTTCTCTCTTGAAATTTAAAGATCCAATATACAATCCACAAAAGTCCTTCATTAATATTCACATTATATGCATCAAAATCTTTATCTTCATAACTAGTTTCTGACACATCGAAATTAACATGTTGTTTTGAAGAATCGTCTTCGTCTTCATCTTCACCTTCTTCATCACTAAAATTTATTTCTTCATTGACATTTTGGTCTTCATCACTAAAATACTGTTCAATTATGACTAACGGATAATTGATTCTGCTTCAACCACTATGATTACTTAATCATGATTTTTTTGGTGTCGTAACAAGAAAATTAAACCCATATAACTCTTGTTTACTGTTAGAACCATCATTATCAAAACCACCGATATCTATATCCATAAAATTATCCAGAGTATTTATTTGATCTGTATCTTTCTCAACTACTACATTAGAAGATTTCCTTATTGATAATCCTCTTTCTTTCATATGTGATTCTTTTATACGTGGATCAACTTTACGACCTTTACATAAATTACAGTTGCATATTACATATCATCTTGAATTTGAGATACTTGGAGTTTTTGTATGACACATCTTTTTCGAAGATTCAGACGTATTCTTTACAAAAGTTTTTTTCGATTTACGTACTATTGTAATTAAGTTTAGCGAAACTTTAATAAATTCAAAAAAATTTCAAAAAGAACGTAAGATGTATTTTCAGAAATAAGGATCAATATTAATTTAAATAAATTTTGTAAAAATATTAATATTTAATTGTGTGATACTCAATTAATCAACTTAAAATAATTAAATAAACTTTTAATGCATATCAATATTTAATTGTGCGATACTCAATCAACTTAAATATCGATAGCGCAGTTAAACTAATTAAGTGAAACCAATGATATTATCACTGCGTAATGAGAAAGTTTCTTTCAAGCTAATATATACAATATATAAGGACACAATTTGCTCACGATTGTTTCTTTGTAACTTTTTTTTCAACTTTTTTTTTCAAAAAAAAAAAAAAAATCACAAATATTAAAGATACATATTTTTGTTTATAATTTAATACATCAAAATAAAGACCTATCAGTGATCCTATGAATATTTTAGTAAATAAAAACATATTACGAAAATTTTTGAAAGTGAAATAGTACTAATTCCTTTCATATCCTATTCAAATTTCAGTTTATTTCATTTAGATAAACAGAGTTTCTTACACTATGACTCAAAAGTCAAAACCCTTTCAAATAATAATACCCATAAAGACTTTCAGTTCCTCGTCGCAGCAATGATAGTCCATAGCGCAGTCGTAGTAATGGCTACAGTCTTAGTCAAAGTCCAAGTCATTATGATTGTAATCGTAGTCGAAATTTACGTTACAGAAGTCAAAGTCTAAGCTGTTATAACCATAGAAGTTCTCATCACTGCAGTAGAAGTTTGGAATGTAACGGTATGATGTATTGATTTAATAATAACACAGGATGTTTTTATTAAGTTTACACTGTTTTCATATATGATAGAAATCGCAGCATTTCATTCAATAGTCGATCATCTGGTTAAGGAAATTAGAAATTTGAAGGCTCAATCACAGTCCTCCTAACTGAAAACACTATTAGGAACATCACTACCTTCCAAGAATTTGGTATCACCAGAACCACCTGGTGGACATAATACAAATCGGAATATATTCGAAAAAATGAATAATGAACAGTACAAGAACTTTAGGGTATCATGAATCTTTCCAATTTAATACATTTGTTATTTGTTATGAAATAATTAATTATCTTTATTTTATTTTATTTATTTTGTAAACTTAAGACGAAGTTGTACAAATTCTTTCTGATCTTGATGATACTTTGTCTTTAGACTATACGAAAAAGTGGAATGATATTTTCAAACACGTTAATAAAGATATTATACCAGCGATCGATCAGGCCATAAGAAACAGGATGTCATATAGTCAGATGAAGCTCAGGTTCATTTTGCAACAATTACATCAGCACAGATGAGTAAGCTGGCAGATATCACAAGATAAAGAAAAGTCACGATTGGACAAAAAAAGAAAAGGAATAAACTCGAGATGTGCTGATGTAGGTATTATTTTTTAGTATATGGATTACTTATAATTCTTAATTTTTATTTATTGTGTATTTTATACTAAGAAAAAAGAAAGAAGAAAGAGAGGAATCATACATATGTATGGTGTAAATAACAATATCTTAATTTTCTCACGATCATAAAATATATCAGAAATTAATTACAAACAAGATATTGAGGAAATTATAGTTAATTCTGGATATCATTCCGACAAAATGTCAGAAACCAACACTGAAAAAGCACAAGAAGAAATTAGAGATAATATCAGGCTGAAAAATAAAAATAAATTGGATAATTATCATGAAATCTGAGTGTATAATAAACCTTAGAGGTCTAAAAGGGTAGGAAAGACATATATTAATTTATATAATCTTTAACTTATTCGCACTTTTGTTATCATAGATCAAGAAACTTCTTCGCCAGGCTGATGAAGTAAGCTCCGTCATACAGCATATTAAGATTCAAAAAAAAAGGTAGTACGACGATATAATATATAAAGATAAGTCGAAACCATTAGAAAACGCGCCAAATTGGTCGATATCGACTTCATATCGACCAGAAGATGATGTTGAAGAAGAAGATTATAATAAAGAAGAAGACAATGATAATGAAGAACGAAGAAAAAAGAAGAAGAACGAAGAGGAAAAGAAGAAGAAAAAAAACAAAAAGAAAAAGAAGAAAAAAAGCAAAAAGAAGAAGAAAAAAAACAAAAAGAAGAAGAAAAGCGAAAATGAAGAAAAGAAAATGAAGAGAAATAAAAGAAAAAGAAAAAGAACAAAGAAAAAAAGAAGAAGAAGAAAAGAGAATTCAAAATGAAATAAAAAAAATCAAATTCGAATACAAATATGATAAAGGAAAGGTAAAAAAGATTTAGATAGCGTTGGTTTATATATTTGATCCAATAGGTAAGACATTGAGAATTCTGAAAGTAACTGGAGGCTGATTGTTGCTTTTGTTTCTTGCTTTCAGTTTGAGGATTTGGTAGATTCATTAAAAATTTCACTCTTTTTAATCTTTTAAGATGCGTTTTTTGGCTAGAGCTTCTATTCTTTTACCTTTGTTTGAAAGTCAAATTTGATACTTAATAATACATATTATATATACAGAACTGTAATAAATGTAAACATAAATAATAAAAATATTTCTTTATTCAATTATTCATAATAATAAATAATATAATACAATACATAAAAGTACCATTGAAATACTGGGATATTACATAAGGTATTAGACTAAAATACATAACATATTAGTAATACATCATTAAGGTATCATTAAGGTATTGGAGTACTGATATATGTGCGATTTTTATATGATATTTATATGATATTTAATACCCCGATATGTAATCTATTCTTAACTATTCCTACCAAACATTGGTAAGGTATTGAAATTGCAAATCATTAACATATCAGGTCAAAATACGTGATATATTATACAGATATTGAGTCTATGATATCTGTCCAATACCTCATATTTCGATCTGTGTATAGTATATCCAGCTGATATATTTCAAGGATTATTTGTTATGAATAGTCATCCATATAATTTTAAGAATCAATTAAACTAACAACAGCTCATTAGCATTATTGATCATAAAATGCATCAAAGATTTTTCAAAAAGAACATCTTAAATTTCTAGATACACTAAAAGATACCACAGTAAGAAAAAAAAAGATAAATGAAAAATCAGAAGAAGTAGGAGGTAGTGAATCAAGAAAAAAACAAAAGAAGTCATAGAAATTATTATCTGTTTTGTTATTATAATCTATTTATATATTTTAATATTATTAATAACATTATTATAAATAAAAAAATGCTTATAATTTCATGCTTTTTATTATAAATATGAATTTTATTTCAATACATGATTTGTAGTTAATCTTTCATGTGTTATATTATTTATTGAAAATTATTTCAACCCTTACCTATATTTACATAATCCATATAAAAGGTTAAGTTCTAAGAGAACTTTTCAAAGTGAGACCTGTATCATAATTTCAAAGTTAGCAAGAAATAAAAAATAAAATAATCTCACAGGACTCACTATACCATTATACTTTATTTTCATAATATACAGTATTACTTTACAATGTAATCAAAAGATTCATTTTTCAGTATATTATTATTTATATTTTTATCTGACTTTTACTTTTCGAGTATATTCATCACATTATCACATCATAGGTGCAACTGTGAAGAATCTTTATGATAAAAATCATGTGAGTATTATGTGAAAATTCAACGCTTTTTTTGTCAAGAAAATTTTTTATTAAATAAATATAAAGTTTAGATAATTTGTAAAACATCTAGTAATCTTATATATAATCTTATTAATATTTTTTGTTATTTATTTTTTATTTTTTTGTAATTTTATATATAACCTTATTAAATTTTTATTATTATTTATCTTTTTATTTTTTAAAAACTAAATTTTAATTTAAAATTTCTAAACATTTTAATAATTTATAATAATTTTATTATTATAACAAGTAATACTTTTTTATTTATTTATTAATTTGTCTTCTTTTTGTTTTTAATTATTTTATTATATTTTAATCATTACATATATTATAATATATAATATGGTCTAGTGCAAAAATGTAGATACACCAATATATTTATAGTAAAAAAATAAATTTTTAAATTTAATATAAACATTTAAACAT